TGCAACCAATTAAAAATGCTATGCCATATTTTACCATCTAATTTGCTGCAGCAGCTAATCTTTTTTTTCAGTGTAGGAGTAAAAAAGATTCTATTAGATTGACAAATTAAAAAACAAGGCAATAAAATTGATTCGCGCGCATCTTTCGCAGACGTATGTATGTTTTTCGAATTTGCATAATTGCCGTTATTGTCAATTTTCCCTAATTTTCTGCGTCGTATGTGGCGTACGTAAAATTAGCACGAGTAACGTGACAACGCTACTCCCTGTCAAGTATTTGGCCAATGATCAAGGCTAGTAACCCGATGACATACTCCTCGCACACATGCCTGCTCTTCTAGTCTTACTACCATTCAGGAACGATCTGCGGGCGGCGCAAAATCTGACGACTGTACTTCGCCAAATCGATTCTACATTTGATTTGCATTCTAGACTTTAATTCCAAGTATTTATATCATTATACTTTTGTACGCGCAGAGCTTGAAGAATGCAACAAGGATATTTTTATTATTTTTTGTTCTAATATAATTCTAATATAAGATTTCCTCTTGTAAGATAAATCCGATGCATAAAAATGGAATCGACACGGTTGGGTAAGTTAACTTTATTTTTTAACTAAGTTAAGTTAAAGTTAACAGCTTTGAAAGTTTAATTTAATCAAAATAGAAGTTAATCCATAATGAAATTAATTGAAAGTTAAGTTAATAAAAAGTAATTGAAAAGTTAAATTTGGTCCGAACGAATAACCAAAAAAAAAGAAAAAGAAAAAGTTTGACCATTTTACATAATTTTTCCTTTCTCACAGCATATTTATTAAAGAATCTGGTTATTTTTGTTCACAAGTAACGATTATACAATATAAAATTACTAAATTATACACTCATTATCCTCTCGCATTGTGTCTGAGGATTGACTTAAAAAAAATCAAATTAAAAGTTAATAGTTACCGATAAATGTAACTAAATTAAGTTAAAAAGTTAAGAGGCTGAAATGTAACTAAGTTAAGTTAAAATTAATTAACTTTTTAACTTAACTTTTATCTTTTTAATTTAGCACTATCCAACCCTAGGAATCGATAACGTATAGCGAAATCACATAAATTCTAGTTTAGCCGAAAAAAACATTGAAAAACGTACAGTACGTGTCCTCCAGCGTTTTCTATCGAGAAACTCTAGTTGAACGGCGAACGATATATAATATTGACATTTAAATCTCACGCAGCGTCCCGCTAATCCTACACTGAAAAAAAGATTGGCTGCTGCAGCAAATTAGATGGTAAAATATGGCATAGCATTTTTAATTGGCTGCAGCAGCCAATTTTTGGTT